CGAAGCGAACTACGTATCGTTATCCGTGACGATCTGTTTTGGTATACCGAACCGACTGAATAACTCGTTCAACCGATCAATTAAATAGTTCGCCGATACCCCCGTTATATGGAGCACTTCTATCCATTTCGACATCGCAATATCCTACGCCAAGATCCATAAATATTACTCTAATTCTGCTTGAACGGCGCACTATAATAGCCTAACTACTAATAAAAAAGGAATGGTTCAGTCTCTTCGTTCATAAAGCTTATATTTACTTACTAGCTGTTGCTCGCGATTTCGTCTCCGTGACATTAAAAATATAAACAATAGTCTATGTTTCTGATGCCGTAGCTATTTAGTAGTGAATAAGTGAAACCAATGATGAAATTTAACAGCAGGATAAAATGCAGTAGTAGGTATAGGTTATCACGTTTTTATTGAGAACAAGGTTATAATTACTTCAGCGAATTATTGAGATTGATGATTTATTTATTATCAATCGTAAATCATTCATAAATTATTCGATATATCTTTGAAAACGTAATACTTGATAAGATAAACAAGTAGCTGTCAATCAAAATACTTTGTTAATTAGACAATATTTCCTAACTACTTTTAAAAATGTTCTATTTACCATTAATAATCTATGTATACAAAAAATAAAACTGGAGTGTCTGTTTGTAATATCAAAAGAAAAATCGCAGATTTCGGGAAGATGTATATGCGTTGTTGATATCGAAAATCGCAATTTTTTTCTGTCAGTCTGTCCGGGCATCTTATAGCCTACTTTTTCATCTTAATATTTTGTGGACGAAGTCGCGGACAATAGCTAGTTAAGAATAAGAATATCTTTATTGCACACTAAGGACACCGACATCAATCAGCGTTGCTTTGGCTTTTTAACTAGGATAACTTATCTGTTTTTAAGAAATCAAGGACTTCCCTCACAAAATCATATGTCAAAAAATTCCTGCATTTAACTGCCATTTTTCGCTAATTACTTTCATTGAATATTCATCAAATAATTTGATGTGAATTTGGTAAATTAAAACCAATTTATATTCTATTTAGAATAAAAAAATAGTCCCAAAAAAAAACTAAAAGATGGATGCATTGAAAACAGTGACAGCATTTTGTGTGGCATTACAATCTGTGTGTTCCCGCCGTTCTGTTCGTTTGCCCCTTTTCTTATAGAATAAGAAATATCTTTAAAACCACCTAGTTATTTACTAATAATAATGTATCTCCTTTTATTATTATTCATTCATAAAAATTACAACTTCCTTACAAATACTCGTAAGTACTCAAATATGCAACTGCAAGTTCTTTCCAAGAAGCAAATAGTTACGATATGGTCGCTATAAGAAAGAATATGTTTTTTTCAATTATCCATTTAATTTCATATTCTTTCATATAATTAGCGAGCTAGTATTTATTCATAGTGTTTTAACTATAATAAACTATTGCTGTTTAGTTCAGTTGTCATAAACTTGAGTAAACAGGTATATTTTTTTTTGATTAAATAAAATTAAATAAATCAAAGAAAAATAATTTTTATTTCATAAGTGGCTGTAATATTTTTTTCTAACAATATATTTCGGATATCAAGGATTAAGTCGATGGTTTTATGTAAATTGTCTACTGATACTTTTATGTAAGTTTTTTATTCGGATTTAAGCTTTGGTTGACTGAACGTTCAAGATGATTTGAACGAGGGGAGAACTGGAGCTAGAAGGTTCAACTGGCACGGCGGGGTCTACAATAGCAGGCCCAACGTGAATTGGCTCATAATCATCAATGATGGCAGGTCCAACGTGAATGGGGTCATTGTCGATGATAGCGGGTCCAACGTGGATGGGCTCGTAACCGTCAATGATGGCAGGTCCAACGTGAATGGGGTCATTGTCGATGATAGCAGGTCCAACGTGGATGGGCTCGTAACCGTCAATGATGGCAGGTCCAACGTGAATTGGGTCCTTGTCAATGATAGCGGGTCCAACGTGAATTGGTTCGTACCCGTCAATGATGGCAGGTCCAACGTGAATGGGATCTTTGTCGATGATAGCGGGTCCAACGTGGATGGGCTCGTAACCGTCGATGATGGCAGGTCCAACGTGAATGGGATCCTTGTCGATGATAGCTGGTCCAACGTGGATGGGCTCGTAACCGTCGATGATGGCAGGTCCAACGTGAATGGGGTCCTTGTCGATGA